AATCTATTAAGTTCATTCAAACCGCCATTTTGCTTACGTCTTACTAGAGCTTAAATTAAGATTGTTTTTATAATGAAGAAAAGAAGGAAAACACGCAAATATTACATTCAAATGAAGTACCCTGAATATGAAGGTAGCAAGTGCCACCGAAAAGTTTGTAACGATCTATCAGACTCCATGGTGTCGCATCCCACGAGACAGGACTCTTAAAAATCACCTGCCTGATAATCTTAATTCTCGTGTATTCTAATGACATTCTACATCTGCGTTTCCTAAGGAGGGGAGGATTAGAGTACTTAACTAATAAAATATTGTGGCATTCCGCGAGAAAGCCGGAGTGGATTAGGAGGTCAGAGTTGATTTCCTAGGCAACGACCAACGTTCCCGCTACAAAGCCTAGGAATCGGCTCGCATCCATCGCTATACAGCAGCTAGCAATATCCAAGCAATGAGTGGTTTGGAGCAGTTTTTGCATAGCAGCGTGCGAGATTAACCCTTCAACAAGGTATTCCTTATTCAGTCCGAGGGCAAGATATAACAGTCCAACATCGGCCAGAGAGTCTTTCAGTTTGTATTTGACCTTAGAACAGAAGCGTTCTTATCCTAGAAGCGACCAAGGACAGTTGAGCTCCGAGCAAAAGACATTTCAATAAGAATTAAGGAAGGATTTAAGAAGAAAATTCAACAAATTATCATACATCTGATGATCTATCAACCGCCTGGTTCGTGATGAGAAAGGAAACGACGAAGTTCTGTATTATATAATTTCTTAGAATTCCTATTCGTCGAATTCCTTCAACAATATATTGACAAACACACACACACACATACACACACATACAAAACTCTGTGAGCTACAGCTCGAAAATGATAGTGTTTACTTACTTCTTTGTTAGCGCTTTCTTGAGACAGTAACACTGCTATATTCAAGCATATAAGTACGTACTTATTTAAAACAGAGTGCATTCATATTAAATATTCGGTATTTATTTCTTTACGTTTAAAGAAATTCGGAGCTCAATGAGTATAGCGATGGGCTTTGGGTTGGACTGCCGAGCACTTTTGCTTTGATTGGTGATATGGGCAAACGATTTTTCTATTTTCCCCAGTTTCCAAATTCCTCCTGGGGCCTACACAGCCTCCTGTCCAGTGGGTACTGGGGCTCTTTACTCGAGGTAAAGCGACAGGTGCGTGAATTTGACCATTTTTCCATGTAGTGCCGCTTTGTAGAATGCTGGAGCTATACCTCCATTCCCGATATGTCTTCCCCCTGTGGTGATTAATTAAGCATAGTAGAAATATTGCCTTCATGTATAAATACAGTCGCTTGGAATATCAATCCGCCTAGAATGCAATCATATTGTCACGTGATAGAGTGACTATAGACGAATTTTGGATTAGTAATTCGGTTTATTGACCACTTACAGATCATAACTACAAGTAAATATAGCGCTATCGTTAATTCATACACTCTGCAGTTCATTACAGTACATATTAAGAATCCTCGGTTTGCTTTCATCGGCCGTTTCTTGGTAACGGATCCTAACAATGTCCTCTGGTTACGTCCTTACTAGCTGGCGAATGTCTCACAACTGACTAAACTGTAGGATTTCACCCTTATAACACCGAGGCACGGACCGCTAGTAAACACTGTTCCTCTGTTGCGGTTCTTTTGTTGCTTTTTAATAATCTGGTGCGTAGCAGCGGCCATTGTTATAGTCATTACTTGGCAACGCGTCTACATGCTGCAATAAAAATTCATACAGATTGCGACAGGCGTTTAATAACGCCTTCAATTTTTCAGATTGGAGGCCTATATTGTAGATTAATATGGTATTAGTGGATTAGAAACTGGAAAATATGTGGAAGGATACTTTTGTGAGGTACGCTCTACGTCCAGGCGTGTGCTTGGAGGCACTGAAGAACGCCACAAAAGGTGTCAGCCAGAATTACCGGTCTCTGGGCCGAGATTCGAACATGGTATGTGGGAAATAGGAGTCATGCCAGCTCGACATTTGCGTATGGCTCCTACCTGAAGTGCAAGTGGTTTCTGTGCTGCCACTCTTGAGCACATATACAATTTCGTACATAAATTATAGTCGCGCTTTTAACAAAGGCCTATAAGCCTGTCGAATTTAATATGCCTTGTTTAATATTTCGTAAATTATTCCAGTGAGATAAAATAAGTCTGTATTCAGAGGAACTTCCATTATAATAATGAGAATAAATATAAACAAGTGTACATTTCTTAAAGTGAACCTGCATTTAAAATATCTAATTCCTTTTTTAAGAGAGTTAATTATGTAATTACGTGATTTTTTCGCTGAACCGCCTGGCTTCCATTCTCAGAGTAACCGCAGAGTAGGCACGAAAAGCCGATTTTCATGTTCATGTGCTTACCTAATTAAACACTACACCATGAAGACGTGAAGACGTATGGGGGAGTAGATGTATAGACTACGTTTGCTTGACCTCGGTACTAGCTGGAGGTGAGTGGTCAGCCTCACGCTCAGACTACTTTACCCCAGGGGTAAGAGCCCCGTTAGCCATCGGATAGGAGGCTGGGTGAGCCCCAGAGTCGATCTGGACAAAATGGAGTAGTGAAAATTCTTGCCCTCACTGGGACTCGAACTTCTGCCCCTTGCTCGTCCAGCCTGTAGCCAGTAGCTATACCTACTGATCTATCCCGGATCTGGAATATGAGAGTGGTTTCCAGGAATTACTGGGGACATCCGTGGAAAACCCCTAAGGATAGCCTGTCCGATATCTAAAGTATAATCCTGCGACGTGTAGTCATGTCTTCGTGTTTTACACATAGACACAAGACTACATGTGGCAAACATACACATACAAATTTTGCTTTGTTTGGAGGAACGTCTTTAATTCGCCTTCTGGAAACTCAGAACAGTTAGGATTCAAGAGTTTACTCAATCATGCACAAGAATTAAAATAAGGAGACTCCCTACGATGGAGAAGTTACCATCGTTTTCATGGTTCCTTCAGCCAACAGAACAAAACCAGTTATGGCGGCTGCAAAGGGCGACGGCCACCACGCTGCAGGATCTTGGCTCTCGGGTCACATATGAAACCCGTCGGAAGTCAGCAGACCCGGAAGTTTCTTCGGAGTGGATATAACTTAATCCATACCTCGAATGATTCCTTGCATGCACTCTCTTTAAGCCGGAGTTTAATGTGAGCACACTGCTTCCAGATGGTAACATTTAACATGAAATCGTTCTTTTTAATGTAACAGATAGCAGTCAATCATTGACTCATTCGACCTCTTAAATTTAACAAATAATTCCTGGAAATATCAACTGAAACGAGTAAATAAAAATTTTCCTCGTAACAAGGCGCTAGTAAGGAAAGGAGTCGCACTTTATGTCCATTTATTTCCCCAATTTTTACTTTCGAAATATTCCAATGTTGTGACGTAAAGAATTTCCATTGCACGATGTTAAAACTAATAATTCTTGTTATCAGTTTTTTCTACAATCCGAGAGTATCAAGCAGAAATAATGTTGATTTTGATCATTTTTATTTGAAATTCTAGCTGAAGAATTTAACAAGTGTATTTTTGAAATACACCGTATTAAGGAGCTCATTATCTATGCATAAAGAAAAATTTATCAGGCAAGTTAATTGTCAATTACAAACTTCGCAATAACTTGAAGAAGGCTCATGACTTAAAGTAAATAATGACGTATAAGATTAAGGAAAATTTGGGTAAGCATATGCCTATAATACATGCTTTAACAAATCTAATAAATTCTGCAGAGGAGGAATTAATATAAATATTTTACAAAGATGTTTCCTTTATTATTACGATAGAAATTAATTATATTTTATTATAATTTTTCTTACAAATTTCTGTTGTGAATTTGTAAAGATAAGGCTATCACTGTAACAGGCCATGGAGGCCCATCGTGTTGTGAGACGTCGAGGGCCCCACATAATCTACTGTCGGCTCAAAGATGGCGGTAAGGTTATCAGCCTTACGGTCTGGCCGCGTTTTACTCCACATGAAGATTCCTGGTACTCATTTCTGTTAGAAGTTGAGTCGACCCCAGAGTCATACTGCGGCTGGAAGGATTAAGTCAATTGAAAAAGCCCACCTCATTGGGACTCGAACTCGCAACCTTCCGGCTTGTAGCATAGTGCCTCAGCTAACTACGCTACTGTGTGCCCCCGGGTGTGGATTTGTATTAAGAGATAATATTTAACAAGGGACACCAAGATTATTACTTATACGTTCAAATAAACTAAGATTACTGACTTTTAATATGGTTCAGAAGTTTCCATTTAAATTTAACAACTAATTTGTATGACTTTTTTCACACAAAAAAGGATGGTTTAGATGCAGTTTTTGTCATGTGCACGAACGTCAAGCATAATGCAGGTGACAGGAGTTCCCACTACTTTATGACAAACATACGTATACAACTCTGTGTGATGAAAATCTGTTCACATGTTGTAGGCTGGAATGTTCCTTGTCTTCGTTAATGTTTACGAGTATTCAGAGCACACATAATTATAGAGTAATTGCGATATGACTACCCCTCAAACTTTATCCGTCAAATTTCATTACCTTAAAACTGAAGTTTACGTTCCCGTTTGTAATTTCGTGCCCCACGACCTATTAGTCACCCTAGTTCGGACTCTGCAGATGTCCGTTTAACATCCGCAAGGCTTGGACTACCCACTCAGCGGCATGTGTTCTGCCGGCTCGAATGGAAGAGACGGAACATTTCACGGGTGTTAGGACACATATAAAAGACGTAAAAACGGTAGCAGGGAACTACGGACAGGCGAAATTCTCCTGGAAATTGAAAAGGATGAGCGTATTTCGACAGGTCGAGTGGAACAAAGGGTTCTTATGTTCAATCCTAGAGAACATTTATAAATACAGCACTCTCCAAAATTGACACTACATCAGTGTTTGAATTCAAACGCACGGTAGTGTTTGTTTCTCTTTGAATTTGGGGGACATTAGCACTCACCTATGTGCAAGGCGGAAGGCAGCTTTCAGCTGTTACTGAAAGACTTTCACAGTGGTCCCGTCTGTTTGTCTCTCTGTCTGTGTTTCCATTTCATGCCCCTTGTGTCCTTGATTTTCAATGATGTGTTACTGTGGAACGTTTTAAGATATTCCATGTAATCCAGCAAACTCCATCTTGACAGCTACACAAACTCGACTGCCGTACGTCAAAGTAAGAGCGTTCTGAAATGGAACAAACTGCAGGAAGCTCGCAACGCGCGTATCAGAGAGTCAAAATTATTAGTCAGGATAAAATGGGCGGGTACATAGCACACAAATAAGTTGAGAAATGCAAAAATTTGTTAATTTTAGTTAGTCTTGATATACTAAATTACTTGAATTGCATGGTGTAGAATAATGAGATTAGATTCTAAAGGGTTCTGACGATGGTGGATGATACACAGAATTACTGGCGTTTTGGACTTCTTCAATCGTCCGGAATTTTAGGTAATATAGAACACGACGTTTCGGAAACTGCATCTGTTTCCGTCTTCAGGTGAGAAAACTGATTACGTGTATTCCTTTCTCACCTGAAGACGGAAAGAGATCCAGTATCCGAAACGCCGTGTCCTCTACTATCTAAAATTCTCGACAATGGAACAAGTCCAAAACCCCAGTAATTCTGTGCAATAATGGGATTGTTAGTGAATAATACATTGCGGTTTGTAGATGAAAGCGGGCGTGGTCGATTTGTATATTTATCCGGGAATTTACATGAAGAAATTGAGGAAAATTACGAAAATTTTCATTCAGTATAGTCTGTCTGCCGTCCGAGATTTGAACTCGAGGCTTCTCAAATAGGATTCCGAGGTGCTGCCCACTGAGCTGGAACCTCGTCGTCTGAAATCCATACAAGATAATCATTTCGTGGAAATAAGAAAATTTGAGGTTATCACCGTGATATTTATTAATTATAAAGTCTTCTAACTTATACTAGAGGTCTCGCCGTAGCTCAAGTGGTTAGTCACTGGCTTCCCACCGCGGCGGCCCGGGTTCGATCCCGGGTCTGGTCAAGTGGGATTTGTGGTGGACAAAGTGGTGCTGGGACAGGTTTCCTCCGAGTACTTCGGTTCCCCTGGCAATCTTCATTCCATCAATTGCTCCACAATCACCCTCACCTATCATCTGGGCCTGGTACAATAGGCCAAAAGTGGCTGCAGAACGAGGGACTTAGTCCCACCCCACTATCAATAAAAAATGACTAGACTCTGGTTATACCTATTATCGTAAAATAGAAACACAGAATCTGTCATTATATTCAAGAAGGGCAGCGAGCAGTTAAGACTTTGTGCCCTACAGCATAAATTCAAAAACGTGATTGACTAGAAATATTTACAGCACATCCTTGAAAAACTGGGTATGTACCTATAAACAGATGCTGGAACGAATTACTAACATGCAGAAACAGGGACGTATAACTCAAATGAAGGATTTGACTGAAAAAAAGTAGGAATTCTTAACTAACCATAAACAAGTAACTTATTTCAAATACTCAAATAAAGTCAGCGACAATATCTTCTACTTTTGCAATGAGAATTGGCAGAGAACATACAATGTGACATGTAGGCCCACTGTCAAGTAACAGTTGTACAACAGCCGTTGCTAGGGAACCAACGAAAAGACACACAATAATGGAAGAGACGCTTCCTATACTGTCCTTGATGGGACTATATAACGAGGACCAGCTGCAATTACAAGAAATTCTGGGGACATCAGTTAGAAGAGTGGGAAGTCGGTGTGATATGACCGTCAGCATGCGAGGACGTGAGCACGGGAATAGAGGATCCATCATTCATTGCTGGAAGACGTTACCAAGCAGCGCACTGAACACCGTGAGTGAGAACACTAGTATTTGTGTGTCAGTGATTTGTCAGGTGTAGTCACGAGTTATTTGGGTATAAAAAATCCGATTACCAATCAGAACACCGTCTCTAGTCACACTCAGTCGCGTGGCAATATTATACAATAGAAGCAATAAAATGTTATTGCGTTCTCGACCTTCTGCAACGAGGAATCTCTTGTGTTTAACTGAAATTGTTACAAGACTTTCGGTAAATACACCTCGGGCTATGCAGAAATGAGACTGAATTTTCGAACTTACGAGTAAATGACGGAAGAATCATAATTTATAAACTATATTAACAGCAGACTTGATCCTAACAATATACATTACATTTACAAAAATCTCGTTTAGAACACAAATCCACGCCCTGTGCGAAACTATCATACATCAACATAACTCAAATTGTGAGAGTGGGAAGTAATTCTTATATCCAAAGTGCATTTGCATTACTATCGTAAATTTATGGACCAAATTTGTCTACCTAATTTACAGTTTTCTTTAATTTTTTCTAACAACACCTGTAAGGATATTTTGCCTGAAATATACTTAGTCCAACCACGGCAGGATTTGTCAGTTTGTCACTGCATTATTCTCTTGGAAACCAAAGGCAAAATTAATTTATGTTAGCTTAGACAGAACCAGTAGATGACAGTTATAAGTGACAGTGTGCCAGTCGGTATTACAGTGTTCACCTTTCTGAACAAAGGTATCTAGATTTATTATTACACTTATTTTACAAACTTAAACCGAGCAACCTCTAGTGAAGACATTCTGTGTCTTAGAATTAGCGTGTGCTGTAGTGAGAAGTTGAATGCGCGAATCAGAGACAGCACTATAATTATTTACAATTACGATTTTTAAGTGTTCAATGGGTCTAATTACCAATCAAAATCTCATGTCTAGTAACTAACATGTGACAATATGTAAGAGTGGATTAATGAAACGTTTATCTGTGAAAACTGTAGCTAGAAACAAGTATGAAATTGAAGAAAGCAGTCTTCTGGGATTTGGCACCGTGTATATGTGGTGTTAACCGACGTTTCGGAGGAACGTATCGCCTCCATCTTCAGGGTAGAAGAAAAAGTATAAGAAATCTACAAGCGACAAGACCATACACGGTGCCAAATCCCAGAATACTGCTTTCTTCATAGTCACCGCCGTGAAAGCCTCAAATCTTACAAGTATGAAATTTTCCAGTTTTAATTTTGACGAAAATAACTGTAGTTATATTACAAGAAATTCTGGCAAGAACAACTCGCCTACATTACTTTTATGACACGAACCGCATAGAAAACGACGCGTCTAACTATTGGAGGCGGTATTTTCCCTGTTGTCCTTCCCGAAGTTACATAAATATGACAATTTTCGGCTTTCGTGAATTAGGAGGGATATGTATATATAGAGGTGTATTGTGACGCGTATTTTTCAAAATATGGGAATAGGTTAAAAATGTAAAGGTTTCTGCTGATGTTGACAGAGTATGGAGAAAGTTTTTCTATTGTACCTGTAAATATGACGTAATAAATTTTGAGATTCATTTTTAATTTTCAACCGGGCGATCTTGCAACGCTCTTACTTGTCATGTTAGGTGACGCAATAGGGCAGAGTTCATATGGAAAGTTTACATGAGGTGCGTTCAGCATTCGTTGAATAGCAGATCGTTAGGTCACTGCGAGTCACCAGCTTTGTCCATACGTTAAAATGGAGCGTACGATGGAACAGAGAGTGAATGTGAATTTTTGAGTTAAACTGCAGAATAGCCAAGTAAAACGTTAGAGATATTCAAAACACTTTATGGTGAATTCCCAGGCAATTGAAGCTAGGGGTGACAAAGTCCGTGATCAAAAGAATGTTAATGTGCTTTTTCAGCATAGGGTATCATCCACTTTTAATTTGTAACGGAAAGGGACCACATTTAATCAGACATTTCACATGAAGGTGTTGTAAAGGCTTATTTATGCCGTGAGGCCCAATCGAAGAGAGTTGTGGAGAGATCGCTAATTGATTCTTTACCACGTCAACGCACCAGCCTATTTTTTCGCTTCGAGTGTCGCGGTTTTTAGCAGAAAACACATCTCTGCCATGGATCATCGGTCATATTCTCCTGACTTGGCTTCAGCTGCCTTCTTGCAGTGTCCAGAACTCAAGAATGTGCTGAAGGAGAGAGTTTATCGGATGCTGAGGACGTTAAATCATCTACAAACAATGTTTGAGAGAAAATATTGTTCAGGATTTTAAAATCTGTTTTCAACAGCTGAAGAAGATCTGATAATATTGTAATTGCAATGAGATTACTTTGAAAAAAAAATATGATGCTATTATCTGCAGTTCTTCAAATAAATGTTTAAGAATTAATCTCAAAATTTTTGCCCGACCTTGTATGTTGACCTTGTCTGTATGTATGAAGTTATTTCTGCTTGCGTTGAGTATGTGCCAAAGCAGTTAACTTTCGCGACTTACAGCTCCATAAGTTGCCTCATTAAATCTGTGTTGGATCATTGAAATATCTCCCCATAAGCTTCAATACGTTAAACTGAAGTTTAAGGCCGAAAAGTCGTCTTATAATTTTCATTTGAAGAAGGTCACCACAGGTCTCCTACGAAATGTTAAGTTATATGACTGTGACCTTACTAGGTCTCTGCTGTTATCACTCCAAGCTTCTCTTCTCTTGGACATCAAGGTAGATGCCAGATTCATTCGGCAACTCCCAAGGGAACCATCAGCAAGAAGGGCAATACCAGACTTCACATGCCAGCACGCCTCATCGCTCAGTCGTCCTGGAAAGAGCCCTGATATTCCTGTGAGCTCTCACTACCAACGGTCCTTTGTAGGCCTACTTCATATCTTCCTTTGTATACATTCTCTCTCTTCCATCTTCGAGTTCATTTCCTTCACTCTCTCTAATGGAACTGTTTTCATTTTATTCAATTTCCCACCATTGTCACCTCGTGCAAGCACAGTCCAACATAGACTCAGTATGCGAGGAGGCAAAGTTGTTCTCTGAACACAGGAGCAGAGTTTATGAATCGTATAGGTCAAACGTCACAGACAAAGAAACTTTGAGAAATTCTTGTTCACAATCAGAAGATGCCTACAGAGACTACACAGTCAGATTTGGGCATAGTTACTGTGATGAATTTAGTATGAAGAAGAAGCGAGACTCTTACTTCATTGTATTACAGTCTCACAACCCCACAAAATTTTCGTGATGAATGGCCAAATAATTCGTAATTATTTCAGAAACATGGTCTTACAGCGTTATATTTGGAATATTTTTCGTAGAAATAAAACTTTTGTCGCCAGGGGAGCTCCATAATTTGTACTTTTCTCCAAGTATTAT